CAGCTCACAGCAACCTTCAACTCTTGGGCTTAAGTGATTCTCTTGCCTCAGCCTCCTAAGTAGCTGGGACTACAGGCGCCTGCCACAATGCCCGGCTATTTTTGTTGTTGTTGTTGTAGTTGTCATTGTTGCTTAACTGGCCTGGGCTGGGTTTGAACCTGCCAGCCTCGGTGTATATGGCTGGTGCTGTAACCACTATGCTACCAGTGCTGAGCTTTTTTTTTTTTTGAGACAGAGTCTCACTATGTTGCTCTGGGTAGGATGCCATAGCGTCATAGCTCACAGCAACCTCAAACTCTTTGGACTTAAGCGATTCTCTCACCTCAGCCTCTCGAGTAGCTGGGGCTACAGGCGCCCACCACAATACCCAGCTATTTTTTGGTTGTAATTATCATTCTTTTTTGGCAGGCCCAGACTGGATTCAAACCCACCACCTTCCACATATGTGGCTGGCACCCTAGCCCCTAAGCTATAGGTGCCAAGCCAATATGATGAAATTCTGTACATATGGGGTTTTATATGATTGCACCACAATGAGTCTTCATGGAGAAGATGCAATTTGATGGTGCAAAAGGGGCTGAGAAATTTGACTCAAAGGTATTGGATGAGGAGGATGAAGTTCTGATTAGAGCTCCGACTCCTTCCACCATGCCACCAACAGCACCAGCACCACCCCTACTCACTCAGCCCTGTCGGGCACTTAAACCTCTGCCTTCTCCCTCTATAAATCCCCTGCTGGACCCACCTCCATACAGGTAGTCAGGGTGCAAAAGACACACATCCACCCCAATGGAGGAAAGTTAAGGAAGATAAGACATTGGGAGGCTGAGGCAGGTGGATTGCTTGAGCTCAGGAGTTCAAGACCAGCCTGAGCAAGAGCAAGACCCCATCTCTAAAAATGGCCAGGTGTCATAGAGGGTGCCTATAGTCCCATCTACTGGGCAGGCTGAGACAAGAGGATTGCTTGAGCCCAGGAGTTTGAGATTGCTGTGAGCTATCACTCTATGGCACTCTACCAAAGGCAACAAATTGAGACTCTGTCTCAAAAAAAAAAAAAAAAAAAAGGAAGACAAGGCATGGTCTTCTTACTGGGACTTTCCAAGTAGTTTTCACTTCACCAGTTTCCTGGTGGAGAACTAAACACCAATGGACAAGCTGTGGGCATGAGGTGGGCACCTTCCCCATTTCTCTCTCACCTAAGACCTTTTTATTTATTTTTTGTTTGTTTGTTTGTTTATTTATTTATTTATTTATTTTAGAGACAGAGTCTCAAGCTGTTGCCCTGGGTATAGTGTTGTGGCATCACAGCTCACAGCAACCTCAAACTCTTGGGCTTAAGCAATTCTCTTACCTCAGTCTCCCAAGTAGCTGGGACTACAGGTGTCTGCCATAACGCCTGGCTATTTTTTGAGATGGGGTCTGGTGACCCCATGCCTGGCCTAGAAAAAGCTCATTAAAACTGTTTCCCAGACCAGAAGTTGGGGCTCAGGCCTGTAATCCTAGCTAGCCCTCTGGTAGGCCAAGATGGGTATATTGCTTGAGCTCAGGAGTTCGAGACCAGCCTGAGCAAGAGTGAGACTCCCACCACCCTAAAAAATAGCCAGGCATTGGGGCAGGTCCCTGTAGTCACAGCTACTTGGGAGGATGAGGCAAAAGAATTGTTTGAGCCCAGGAGTTTGAAGTTGCTGTGAACTATGATGCCATGGCATTCTACTGAGGGAGACAAAGTAAGACTCTGTCTCAAAAAAAAAAAAAAAATGTTTCCCAGGGTCTCCTGTGGAATTTTTTTTTTTTTTTTAAAGACAGAATCTTGCTCTGTGGCTCACACCCAGAGTGCAGTGGCATCATCATACTCACAACTTCAAACTCCCGGGCTCAAGTGATCTCCATGCCTCAGCCTCCTGAGTAGCTGGGATTACAGGTGCCCCACCACACCTGGCTAGTTTTTCTATTTTTAGTAGAGAGGTCTCACTCTTGCTCAAGCTGTCTGAAACTCCTGAGCTCAAGGGATCTTCTCACCCTTTCTCCCTTCCCCCAGATCCTGCTCAGACATCCGCTCGTACCTCCCACTTGCCCAAAGAAACATTTGTGGTTAATGAATTTTAGAAAAGGGATGTGAAAGTTAGAAGTAAAAGTGACAGAAGATTAAAAATGGGGGTTAGGGAGGTCCCAACTAAGGAGACCCTACTGCTACCACCACTAAAATTGGGAGCAAGGAGCAGCAGACTCACATGATTCTATCCCTGACAACCCTACAAAAAATACTTTGCACAAATTTTCAAAAACATCCTTGTCTCCTGTGTCACCTGCTGAGAGACTTCATGTCCTGGTCACCTCTGAAACCTGGAGGTGGGTCGTAAAGAGGGTGGAGTCTCAGGGAAAGAAAATGAGGCCCTAGGACGCTTGGGTCCACATCCGGGTGCCCAGAGATGTCGCCACCACAGCTGCTGCTGTCCCTGCTGCTGCTGATGCTGCTGGATGTGGAGCCCAGTGGAGCTACACTGATTCGGTATGGTGATGCCATCTGCCACCCCCAACATGGGATTTATTATCCACCTCTTGTCCTTTAAATCTGGGAGTCCCAAGCTGGGAACCCATGATCTCTGACTCTTTTTACTTGGGTTCCCAGATCTCTAAATTAGGCTGTCACTCGGTTGTAGACTCCACTCTAGCACGTCTGAAGCCCAGAGCCCTTTCAAGTCCAAGATCCTCCAATGCCCAGACCCTTACTTGTAGACCTTTTCTCCTCCTCTCAGGACATGGTTTTGGGAGGCCCCTGAAGATCTCTCTTTGAGCTCTTATCACATGGTACTGGGATCTCTAGACAAATGACACCCCCTCCCCCATTTTGGAGACCCAGATCTGTGACATTTAAACTAAGACTCCCCAGATTCACATCATTCAAACTGTTTAGGCCTCAAGAAGTGAAGTTTCAAGACAGGCATGGTGGCTCACTTCTGTAATCCTGGCACTCTGGGAGGCTGAGGCAGATGGATTGCTTGAGCTCAAGAGTTCGAGACCAGCCTGAGCAAGTGTTGAGACCCCATCTCTACTGAAAATAGAAAAACTAGCCAGGTGCGGTGGTGGGCACCTGTAATACCAGATACTTGGGATGCTCAGACAGGAGGAACACTTGAGCCTAAGAGTTTGAGGTTGCTGTAAGCTATGACGCCATGGCACTTTCTCTACCCAGGGCAACAAAATAAGACACCCCATTTTTTCTCCCCAAGTCTCTACCTTCCTCTCCTCCCTCACCTACTGGAACCTTTTCCTTCCCCAGTCTCTCCCTCTCCTCTTTCTCTCACCTACTGGAACTCTTGATGAGGGGGAGGGGTATAGTCTTCCAGGAAGTGTTTTCCCCACTTCACATTCTTATGCCTCTCAAAGACTGAGTCATGGGGGAGGGGGCAAAGGTGTGAGTGAGGGGAAGCACTCTAAGGAGTGACTAAAGGCAGGTACAAAAATATTACTGGACATGATGTTTATTAGCTTGTTTTTTGAATTTACTATATCATGGACATTTTCCAAGTCAATGCAAACAGCAGTGAGTCTCAGACCGTTGTCTCAAGGCCAATAGTATCATCATGACCTGAGACCTTGCTAGAAATTCAAATTCCTGGGCCCCATCCGAGACCTATTTATTTTTATTTATTTATTTATTTTTGCCCCCCCCCCAGGCCTACTTAATAAAAAACTGGGAGACCTGAATTTTAACTGGCCCTCTAGAAACGGTTTGTAACATAGAAAGAAAATGTGATGAAATTCTGTATGTAAGGGTTCTTTTCTTTTTAGAGACAGTCTCATTTTATCACCCTCGGTAGAGTGCCTGGGGTCACAGCTCACAGCAACCTCCAGCTCTTAGGCTTAGGCAATTCTCTTGCCTCGACCTCCCAAGTAGCAGGGAGTATAGGTGCCTGCACAATGCCCAGCTATTTTTTTGTTACAGTTTGGCCTGGGCCCGGTTTGAACCCGCCACCTTCGGTATATGTGGCCGGCGCCCTACTCAGTGGGCCACAGGTGCTGCCCTGTATGAGTTCTTATATGATTGCACCAGAATGAGTCTTCATGGAGAAGATGCAATTTGATGGTCCAAAAAGGGCTGAGAAACTTGAGCCAAAGGTATTAGATGAGGAGGACTAGAGGTTCTGATTAGAACTCTGAATCCTTCCACCATGCCACCACCAGCACCACCCCCACTCACTTAGCCAACAACTGCCCTGTTGGGCACCAAAACCCCATTAGGGTTTCTGGTAACAATGCTACTGTAGGGCCTTGGAGATGTTTTCTTGTCAGTAGGTCCCTATTTCGGTTTCCAGGCAGCACAGCTTCCTAAGTTTCAGGATCCTCTCTCTGCTTCCTAAGTTTCAGGATCCTCTTTCTCTGCAGAGTCTCTCTTCGCCGAGTCCACTCAGGACACAAGACCCTAAACTTACTGAGGAGATGGAGAGAACCAGCAGAGCTCTCCAGTTTAGAGGCCTCATCTCCTGGGAACAAGCTGGGCCTTGTGCCTCTCTCTGATTTCTTGGATGTAAGTCACAGCCCTGCACAGCCCCAGACCCTTGTGCCCTCCAGCCAAACTCTCAATTTACCCTGTATTTTTTTGCCATCAGGTCCAGTATTTTGGGGAAATTGGGCTGGGAACACCTCCACAAAACTTCTCTGTTGTCTTTGACACTGGCTCCTCCAATCTCTGGGTCCCATCAAGGAGATGCCACTTCTTCAGTGTACCCTGCTGTAAGCTTTCAGGGGAGAATAAGGCTCAGTAGGGGTGAAGAGAGAAGGTGGGGCTGGGCCTCAGCTTCCCCTAGGTTTTGGAGAAATCATTCTTTTCTGATGCCCTTATGTTAGGTCAATGGGGCAGAAGGCATTGGGGAGACTCCCCTCCCCCAGTGACATCTCTCCTTTTGACCCAGGGTTTCACCATCGCTTCAATCCAAATGCCTCTAGCTCCTTTCAGCCCAATGGGACCAAGTTTGCCATTGAATATGGAAGTGGACGGCTGAATGGAATCCTGAGCAAGGACAAGCTGACTGTGGGTGACCTTTTACTCCAGGAAGGCTTGAGTTTGGGAGAACCCCCAGGCCTAAGAGTATCTGGCTTAGGGAGGGGCTTGAGGAGGTGTGGCTTCCTGAGCAGATATTTGAAGCTTTTCAAGTGTGGAGGTGGGCTTTCCTGGGTGAAGGGGTGGAGCTTCTCAAAAGGGAAGCAGGGCTTCTTGGGAGGAAGGGCAGAGCTTCTGAAATAGGGAGGCTAAGTTTTCTAGGTAGTTGGGGCTTGTTTCCAGATAACCTGGGATTAATGCATTGGTTTGGAGGATCTTCTGTCTTTCCAGAAGTAACTGGCCCCATCTCAATCTACTCCTAGATTGGGGGACTCAAGGGTGCATCAGTGGTTTTCGGGGAAGCTCTGTGGGAGCCCAGCCTGACCTTCACTTTTGCCCCCTTTGACGGGATACTGGGCCTTGGTTTTCCCATTCTGGCCGTGGAAGGAGTTCGCCCTCCACTGGATGTATTGGTGGAGCAGGGGCTACTGGATAAGCCTGTCTTCTCCTTTTACCTCAACAGGTATTAGGGGAGGGGCTACCTATCTGTGAGTCTCACTCTTGATTCAGGAAGTCACTGACCCAATACAGGAAGTCTCACCCTCTTTTCAGAGAATTATCAACCTACATACTCTCCAGCAGCCATCCACCCAACACAGGACATTCCATCCTCCCTTCAGGAAGTCACTTACCCCACATAAGAGACACCTGAACCCTATTCAGAAGTTCCACTGTTTACACAGCAATTCGACACATAGTAAAGAAACTCATCAGCAGTTCAAAATGCTCCTTATTTCAAAATCAAGACAAGACATTCCATTCCCCACCCAACCAAACACTCAATTTAGGAACCCTCTCCTCACCATGAAGAAAGCTCAAATTCCATCTGAGACCACTTACCACAAGTCAGGAATTTCCTATTTTAATGCAGGAAGTCCCACCCACATTTTAGGAAATTCAGTCCCACTCACCATCAGAGAGTCTCTACCTTTCCTCTCTGAGGCCTATTACCACAGTCAGAAAATTCTATTAGTCAGAAAATCCTATCCCCACTCAGTTAACTTCACAGTGAACCCACTCAAGAAGTCTCACCTACTTCTTAGTAGAGAGATCCCACCCTCCAACACGTTCCAGGAAATTCCCAACCACTCTTCCCATCACTCTCAGTCAACTCAGGAAGTCTAACACCTCTGTAGATACCAGGACAAACAATTGAGAAAGTCTCACCACTTCTGAGGAAGCCACTCCACCTCTGCACAAGTCACAAGTTCAAGAGCCAATTCAAAACTCCACTGCTGTACTTGATGACTATGATATTCAGCTCAGGAAATTTCCCACCTAAAGTTCTTACTTCCATCGCCAAATCCAGAAGTCCCAGCCCTACATTTTAGGAAGTCTGCACCCCCACCCCCAAAGCCCGAACTTTCCCTTCACTTCTGGCCTTGCTTCCTAGCTCCCTACCCCACCTAGAGCCCCAGAAGTGACTCAGTAGACAGGAAGTCCCATTCCTGGCCACTCCTAGGGCTGGCAGCAGGGGAGGCCCCTGACACTAACAGCACTTTGCCTCTGCAGGGACCCTGATGTGGCTGATGGAGGAGAGTTGGTTCTGGGGGGCTCAGACCCAGCACACTACATCCCACCCCTCACCTTTGTGCCAGTCACAATCCCTGCATACTGGCAGATCCACATGGAGCGGTGAGGGACTTGGCCTTCTGGGCCTGGAGCTGGGGTTGGGGCCTGCATCCCTGGAACCCTGCCTCTAATGACAGCCCCTTTCCTCACAGTGTGAAGGTGGGCACAGGGCTGACTCTCTGTGCCCAGGGCTGTGCTGCCATTTTGGATACAGGCACATCTTTAATCACAGGACCCACTGAAGAGATCCGGGCCCTGCATGCAGCCATTGGGGGAATTCCTCTGCCACCTGGGGAGGTAAGGTCCCAGTCTTCAGTGCATGTGGACTGGGGAGGCTGATAGCAATTTGATGGTGAACACTGAGGAGGTATCCCAGGGCAGATGGGACTGGAATTCCCAGGGCAGATAGGCTGGAGAGTAATGAATAAGTGGAAGCAAGGACACTTCCTAAGCATCTATTCTGAGTGACTCAGTGGATGGTGGTGGAAGATGATACTACAGGTTTATGTAGATTGGATGAGAGAAGCCTAGGCAATAGAGATTAAGGTGCTCAGTATGGACATGACGCTATGGAACTGGGGAGCCAGGAAGGGGATTTGACCAAAACAGAACTCTTCCATCTTCACTTGTTACTCTTTTCCCTTAGCATCTCATCGAGTGCTCGGAAATCCCAAGGCTCCCCCCAGTCTCCTTCCTCCTTGGAGGAGTCTGGTTTAACCTCACGGGGAAGGACTACGTCGTCCAGGTAGGTGGCTGTCAAAATGACGCCAGAGTGACATAATATACCTGGATTTGACCGGATTTGAGAGGTTAGGGCTGGGAGTGAGTCATTACCAGGGCCGGATAGGGCTACACAAACATTTCTTGTCCGGGGTAATGGGCGGGGCTAAGTACTGGCTCCCAGGGAAATGGCTGTCCCGGTAGGCGTGACACGCAGTAGCCCTGTCTTCTCGCCCGCAGATTACGTGGGGTGGTGTCCATCTCTGCTTATCCGGCTTCCAGCCCTTGGACATGCCTCCGCCTGCAGGCCCCCTCTGGATTCTCGGTGACGTCTTTTTGGGAGCCTACGTAGCGGTCTTCGACCGCGGGGACACAAACACCGGTGCCAGGGTGGGCCTTGCTCGTGCACGTCCTCGAGCGTCTGGCGGGCGAGGGGGCGGGCCAGCGCAGGCGCAGTTGTCAGGTTGACGCCCCAGTTGAGCGCAGGCGCACAGGACAGTATTGTAGGTACAGTTACCCAGTAAAAATCCGCTATTTCCATAGAACGAATTTGCCTGGGTTGTTTCTTTTAAGTGTGTGATTTTTAGAGAGGGAAAATTGGTAACTAGGCCTCCGAAGTTGAGGACGAGAGGGAAGGGAAATGCATCATCCCTTTTTTCTAAGACTCACAGTGGTGAGTTTTTTTACTACGAATCCCATGAAGCCCCTCGCCTACACTGCCCCTCGTAAAAGGCGCCTGGTACCGCGGAGCATTACGGATTTTGTAGTCCATGCAGTGTTCATGTTCTGGCGGGGGCAGGCGCAGCCACAACATGCGTGGGAGGCGACAGGTCGCGGCGGCGGCGACAGGTGGTGGTAGGGGGTGGCTGAAATCGGTAAAGCGTTACCCAACCTTTGTTCTAAGCGGAGGGGATACCATTCCTGCGGATCTCATCAGCTGTTCCTTTTCTTTCCTCTTGGGATTACGGGACCCCTGGGTCCGCCATAAAGGAGGAGCTTGAAGCCCCCGGGCTGGGGGGAGCAGTCCTGCCCCTCCTCCGGCGGTGATGTCACTCCCCCCTCCGCAGCCTCTTGCTGCCCAGAGCTGCCAGGGATGGGTCGCCCCTCCCCCCATCTCCAGCCCGGAATACCCCTATCCCCGCCTCGCCTCGACTTGGGGTGAGTACGGGGGAGGGGGCAAAAGCTCAGGGTCCGGAGACGGTAAGATAGTCCAAATCTCAGTTTTGGAGGCGAGGGACTCCGGAGACAGAGACCCAAAGATTAGAACGGAGAAATTTCCCTCGATTCTGAGCTTTGGGGGCCAAGGTACTTGGAGGGTCTCGGTACCAAAGATAGTAGGCAGGGAGTCCCCACGTTTTCAGCTTTAGTGTCCGGAGTGTCCTTTTTCTGAATTTGGAGCTGATAGGAATGGGGGTGGAGGAACAAGGAAAGGGTCCTGGAAGTCAGGGACCTTCCCCAATACCAGGGCCTTGGGGAATGGGGAGGTGCTGGAAGGGGGCGCTGAGGATGACAGAGGTGGGAGTTGAAGCTTTCAGGAATTCTGTGCCTGGGAAAGGAGGGGTTGGGGAGGGGCAGGGAAGAGGAAAGGATCTGAAAATGTAGACAGATAATTGGCCTTTGTCCTGCTGTCCATCACCAACAATCGAGTTTGCTTCCCCGTCTATGAACATAGCTGAGCATCTATGGACATAGCTGAGCGTCCTGTAATCCGAGCCCCCATCATGCCTTCCGAAGCCCCTCTAATGGGTGGGTGGAGAATCCAGGCTCTGGTGAGGCCTGGTGAGGGCCAGGAGGTAGGAATGGCATCCAGATTTCCCATGCCTGATGGAGTCTGGACTATCCTGTTACTCCTTGCCCACTGCCTCTTCCTGCCTCCCGTCTTCTCTAATCCTGAATCTCATCCTATATTCTCCCCTGTTTCAGCTCCTTTCCTCCCCACCAACCCTCACCTTCTCCCACATCTTCTGACCTCTGCAAAAACTCGCTGATTTGGCAACTTGATCTCGTGCCCTGGCTGCTGTTAAAAGCAGAAGAGAAAAGTCAGGTTGGGGAGAGTTAAGGGGAGGATGGCTAACTTATGCCCTTACCCTAAGGCCTATCCTCTACTCCCAGTGCCTAGAGCTACCTGTCCTTGCTCCAGCCTCCACCTTTCCTAGGAGACTTACTCAACCTCAGCCTGGTCCCTCACCTCAAGCAAGATTCATTCATTGCTTCTGGCTGGAGACACATCAGGGATGTGCAGGAGGACAGGGATGTGCAGGAGGTGCCTAAGTCTTTTCTCTGCCCTTGTGGGTCCCACAAAGTCTTAATAGCTGGCCAAGGATCCTGGATTGAAGGCAGTGAGATAGCCCAATGAGAGAAACTAGCTTTCTGGTCTGCGGGACAGGCCCCACTCCTGCAACTCTCTGCAGTGACGCAGTACTGGCCAGGATGGGGATTAGAAGGGGTGATGGGAGGGCTTCTGAGAAAGGAAAACAGATCCAGAGAAAGATGACAGACAAAAAGAGCAGTGGACAGAGACCTAGAGAGAGACAGACAGACACGAAAGGGGGTGAGCCATGAGAGAAATAGAGAGAAGGAGAGAGAGGACAGATATCTAGATAGAGGAAGGACAGAGACTGAGGGGGTAAAGAGAGGGAGGAGGGGGAAAATATAGGTGGGAAAGGGAGAAGAGGAAGGGAGGTCATCAGAGAACAAAGGGAGTAGACAGAGATCCAGAGAGGGGGAAGGACAGAGCCTGGGGAGGGGAGTGGGAGAGAGAGACACAAAGAGGGGGCAAAGACTCAGGGAGAGGGGAACAGAGTCCCAGAGAGAGAGGCACACTCTAATAAAAAGGAACTGAAAAACCAGGAGAGAGAGACTGGGAGCAGCGGGTAGGACTGAGGCCTAGAGAGAGGAGGGGCAAAGACTCAGAAAGAGGGGGACAGATATTCAGAGACCCAGAGGGAGGGCAGAGACTCAAAGGTGAAACAGAGACGGTGGGACAAATAATCAGAGAAAAGAGAGAAGAAGGGACACCAAGAGACACAGAAACGGGAGCAGGCGTGGGGTGGGAGGCGATACGAACCAGCTGCCGCACCTGCAGAAGGAGGCGGCGGGCCAGGGACGCGGCAGCCAGATGATGCCCGCAGCCCCCTGACCCGCCCCCTTCACTCCCACAGGTACCGCCTCCTACCACCGCAGCCCCAGCCGCAGCTCCTGGCCCCGCCCCAAGCCCTGCACCTGCGCTCCGCCTCCGGAGTCTAGGACAGCCCAGGAGGTGTGGCCAGCTCGCTCCCAGGCCGTCTGCCTAGTTCTGGCCCCGCCACTAACTCGTGGTCCCTGTATCAGCACCAGCCTCTCAGCTACCTAACCCGCCCCATTTTCTAGTAGTCCCACCTGTTGCCTCAGTATAGTATAGTCTATACTATAGACTGTGATTCCAGGCACTTTGGCCTTTCCCCTCTCCCCACCTTTATGCCTCCCTTTGTGCTCCCTCCTCACCAGTCCTTACCCGTCCGTTGGTCCTCTAATCTGCAGCCCACCGTTGTCTAGGCTTCGTCCTCTTTCCTCCACCAGATGGAAGTTCTCGCTCCCTAAGGCCTCTCTGACCTTCAGTCAAGCTCCTCTCTCAGGTTCTCTTATCCCTAAGACTCTCCATTCCCGGTCCCTTCCGTTTGTCCAGCCCGGTAGATTTGTACTCTTTGCAAGTCTCACTTTTCCCCTAGCGTCTCCCTCTCCTGTTCCTCCACCCTTTCTTAGCGCTGCCCCGCTTCCACTTACCCTAGTTGCTTTCGAGCCCTTAAAGCCTCTCTCCTCCCTTAGTCTCGCCTTCTTACAGCCCATTCAAGACGTTTTCTACGATCTGTAGACCCCACCTACCTTCCTCAATCCCACTTCATCCATCCAGACACTCATTCTTCCAGCCTGGCCCATCTAACTAGACCAAGCTTGCAGCCTCCGCCCTGCCCCTTCTTTACCTCTCCCCCCGTTAGTCCTAACCAGACGCTCTGAGGTTTCCACGTCTCGCTCATCTCCACTCCGTTCTCACCGGGTCTCCGCCTCAGTTTCTCTCTCCCTGTCTCCCTTCTGCCCAGCTCAGTTCCATTCTGAGGAAAAGGGCTTCATCTTCACTTCCCGCCCTAGTTCAGTCCCTCCTCCTCACTCACCTCAGTCCAATCTGAAGTGTTTCTACCTTCTCCGACCCGTCCCTTCTTGAGGTCCGTTCCGCCCCTTCCAAGTAATTTTCCCTCTCACCCGGTCCTGCCAACAAGAGGTTTAGGTGCAGGGGGTTGTTCTCTTTCTTACGCTCCATTTCCAGTCTAATCTGGACATCCTTTCACATTGTGGTCCCACGCCTCCAGGCCCGTCGGGCTCCTTTAAATAGCTTGGACTTGTCCCCCCTCGCTCTGTCACTCTAGTCCCTTTTTTCAGTTGGGTCAAGTCTCTTTCTCATATCTAGCCCCGCCTTCCCTATTCTCCTGGTGCTGCGGAACACTACATTAGTTGCCTTTGCGATCCACTTTGCCGCCGGCTCCGCCTCTGGGTCTCTTCTAGTTGGGCCGCGTTAGAGTTCCAGCCCCTCTCACATCCCCCAGGCCAATCAGTTAGTTTTGTCCCCCCAGGACTACGCCCCTCATTCAAGCTCCTCCCCCCGCCCAATCACGTCAGTCTCTCCTCCTGAGTCCCGCCCCTCGAGGACACGCCCCTTTATCCCCGCCCCCCGGCCAATGCTGAGCTCAGTCTGTGTTTCGTCCTTCCGCGGGCGCCAGGGGGCCAGCAAGCAGCAGCCGGCGCCACCGCTGCAGCCGCCCGAGTCCCCGCCGCTGCTGCCCCCGCCACTGCCATCAGCGCCGCTGCAGCAGCAGCAGCCTGCGCAGCCCGGCTCCGCCGCGTCCCCGGCGGGCCCTCCGGCACCCCACGGGCCCGGGGGCCAGCGCGCCGAGCCATGCCCCGGGCTGCCGGCGGCGGCCATGGGGCGGCACGGCGGCGGCGGTGGCGACAGCGGCAAGATCGTGATCAACGTGGGCGGCGTGCGCCATGAGACGTACCGCTCGACGCTGCGTACTCTGCCGGGGACGCGGCTGGCAGGCCTCACGGAGCCGGAGGCGGCCGCGCGCTTCGACTACGACCCCGGCGCCGACGAATTCTTCTTCGACCGGCACCCGGGAGTCTTCGCCTACGTGCTCAACTACTACCGCACCGGGAAACTGCACTGCCCAGCCGACGTGTGCGGGCCTCTCTTTGAGGAGGAACTCGGTTTCTGGGGCATCGACGAGACCGACGTGGAGGCCTGCTGCTGGATGACCTACCGGCAGCACCGCGATGCTGAGGAGGCCCTGGATTCCTTCGAGGCACCGGATCCCGCAGGCGCCGCTAATGCCGCCAATGCCGCGGGAGCCCACGAGGGAGGCCTGGACGACGAGGCGGGTGCGGGCGGCGGCGGCCTGGACGGTGCGGGCGGCGAGCTCAAGCGCCTCTGCTTCCAGGACGCGGGCGGCGGCGCCGGGGGGCCGCCGGGGGGCGCGGGCGGCGCGGGCGGCACGTGGTGGCGCCGCTGGCAGCCCCGCGTGTGGGCGCTCTTCGAGGACCCCTACTCGTCGCGGGCCGCCAGGGTGAGCGCACTTTCGGAGTCCCCATCCATCCCCTCTCCCTCCTGCAGGCGCCCTCAGACTCTCAAGAGACCCCCAGTCAACTCTCAGAATCTCAGGGCCCATCCCAACCTCTCCTGGTCTCTCTAGCTTCCCAGTGTCTTTCCTCTTATCTTGAATCTTTGGTTTTCCTCTGAACACACCCCCCTCTCTGGGCCATCTCTAGGATCCTACAAAGACGTTATTTCCCATCGTTAGACTCTCCCAGATCCCTCCGAATGCCAACCCGCTTCTCTAGGCCACCTTAGACTCTTAGAAATTACCTCCCACCCCACCACATCTCCTGGGCTTCTCTGAACACCCCCATCCTTGCTTTCCCCAGACCCCTCAGAGACCTTCCAAGAAGACCTCCCCAATCCTCAGGCTCCTCAGCCCCTCCAAACCTCTTCTCATTACACTTGGCCCCCCTCCAGTCCTCATTTTCTTGGATAGTCTTCAGTCCCTCAGAGGACATCCCTTCCCAACCCTCAGTGACTTAGGTCCTGTGAACATTGTCTTCCCACCCCACCCCCCTCTGAAACTCTCTCAGTCTTTCCAATGCCTCTTGGCTCCCTCTCCCAAAAAACCCCTTGCTCCAAGTTTGAATCTCCTAGTTGTTTTTTTACCCCACACCCTCCCCCTGTCTCTTCTGTTCTCAAAAGTCTTAGAACACTCTCATATCCCACCCTCAGAACCTCCTGGACTCCTCTGAAGCTCCAAACCGTTTGCTCTAGCCAGGACACGTCCCTCTCCCCTTCACTGCAACACTGAGTCTTGGGGCATCTCCCCCCACAACCTCCCAGCCCCTTCGGTATTCATGTCCCTTCTTGCATCCTCCACATCACCGTCCATCCTAAGGACTTTCCCCATAAAGCTCCACACTTCCCCCCAGCCTTTCACAACCCTGTCTCCAGGACATTTGGAGCCCCCATGGTATGCCTTTCCTCTGCAGAGCACCCGTTGCCCCCCAGAATTGCTCTTCCTCATCCACAGACTATTGCAGCTTTTTCCTCCATCATTTAAACTGTACAGCCCCTCTCAGTCTCCCAGCTCCCTTTCCCCAAAGGTCCCATCTCCTTTGCTATTCTGTTAAGTGAGTTTCCTTCCACTCCATAACTTTTTCCAACCTCAAACCTTGGGTCCCTCCCCTTTTCAAGTCATCAGCCCCAAGACTTTCATTTCAAAATAACTTTCACTTCTTTCTACCCTGCCTTGGGATCTTTTCATCTGTCCTCCTGCTCTCCCTACCCTGCCATCTCCCTTTCTCAAGCCCTCCGGGTCCAAAGCCCAGGACTGGCCTCCTCAGCCTCTCCATCAAAGTGACCTAAAGAACCCACATCCCATCCTTGTCTTTCCTCCAGCTTTGTATCCCTCAAAATTCCAGATATCCCCCCAAACTCTCTTTGTCTCTCACAGGAAACTTTTCTCTAGCATCTGCAACTTATAGGCTAAATGGCTACCCTCCGCCCCTTGTTCTTCCCTGAACCTTTTCCTCCTACTTCCTCCCTGTCTCACAGATACAGAAAGGAGAAAGTGGGAGAAAAGAGGGGGGCAATTTAAAATGGGGGAACTTGGAAGAAGGGCCGAAGAGGAGCGATCCTAAGGCCCCTTCCTAGGCTCCTGGGACCCAAACACCCAGAGGAGCAGGTCTCGGCCCCCTCCCCCCACCGTGCCGCGTCCTGAGCTGGGAAGGACACTGAGCCGCAGTGCCGCATTTGCGCCAGGGGGAGGGTGCAAGGGGGAGGGGGAGGGCCCCCCCAGCCACTGCATAAAGTTTGGTCCCCGAAAGCGCTGAGTTGGCGAGATTTGATGTTGAGTCGGGGGAGGTGGGGAATAGGAGGTGCAGAAGGGACATGGCCCTAGATGCCCCCTCCGAGCCGCCTCAGGCTTCTGAGCAGTTCTTTTCCTCATTTGCCTGGGATGCCCTTCCCTTCTGTGACCCCACTGAAGGGTGCTGAGGTGAGGGGGAGGATGAAAGTAGAGTCTTCCTGTGATGGTCAGGCTAGGGGTCCTGGACATCTATGGGAGTCATTCATTTACTCCACAAATGTTTTTGAGTGTCCACAGTGTGCCAAGTACTTTCCAGCCTCCAAGTGAGATTGCTTGAGAGAGTTTCGAGTTGAGGCCAATCCGAAGTGACAGTCTGATCCTACCTCCCCCATCCTTGTGATCGTTCCTTTTCTTCCTACAGAGAGAGACTCTTTGCCCTCCTATCCTTTCTGCTTTTGAGCCACTCTGGGGCAAGGAGTTAAACCAGCCTGATGCAGTCCACCTCTGCAGCTGTTCACTGCGGCGGGTGCCCACTTTCTCTTTGTCTTGGAAGGGAAGGAGTTAATCAAATTCCTGGCCTGCTGCCTCCCGCCGGGAAGCAGCGACCCTGCGGCTGCGCGCTGCCTACTTGGCTCCCGCTGGGAAGGAGTTAAGACTGGTCCCTGCTGGTGCGGCTGCGCACTGCGGCGGCGGAGCTGTCCGTGGTGCTGCCCGCCGTGCGCCCCGCCCCCTGGCCCAGCCGGCCCGCCCCCACTGCGGTGCCGCAGCCTGCGCAAGGTGCCGGGCTCCGAGGGGGCGGGGAAGCGCCGGGCATGCGCTCTGCAGAGGCCTGGGGCCTCTTAAACCACTGCAGAGAAATGAAGAATGGGGGTGCAGGGAGGGCCAGTGCTGACCCCAGCCCACCCTAAGGTCCAAGGCACTCTCTGTGGCCCTACTAGGCACCCCTCCACCCTGTTCCACACTTCAGTTTAAAGTTAAGGCTTCCCAAGTCCAGACCCTTCCCTTCCACCCCTGTGGAGGAAGTCAGGTGCAAAGGGGCAGTGCTGGCCCTTAGCCCACTCCAAGGCCTAGGGTCTTCTCTGAAGCCCAACACTGCTTTTGTTCTGCACTGCCCATCTGACTAAAGCCCCGTCTTTACTCTAACAGCTATCTTCCTTCCCTCTCCAGGGTTCTCCTTTCCCCACCCTCTACAGATCTGATCAAGCCCACTGTCACCTCCAGGGGCCTGACCCATTGCTCTCTTTCTCAAGATCTTGATTCACTCCCCTTCAAGGCTCTAACCCACACTACTGTGTGGCAGGACACTGGTCCTCCCTGTCCCTTAAAATGACCCAGGACCTCCCCCAGTTCTCTGCACCTCTGAAAAGTGATGTGCCTCACTTCTCTTTGGACTTGGTACTGCCCTCTCCCACAGTGTTCAGGCACTTGACTCTCCCTTACTCTCCAGAGCCTTAAACCCTGACCCTCTGTCCTTCTCTAGTCTCTTCCCTTTTTGCAGCCCTAATGCTTCAACCCCTTCTCTCTTCAGGGCTCTATGCCCCCTCCCCCCCATCTTCCTCTATGGTTCCACCCCTGCCCTGTCCTCTCTGGGGGAGGCCTCAACCTTGCCCTCCACTGACTGATGCTCTCATACCCTAATAACAGCTCAGACCTTCTTCCTGTGTTCTAGGCTCTGGGCCAAGCACTGTTTTTGGAGCCAAGCCCTTTGTACACTCATCTAGTCAATCCTCATAACAATCCCGTAAAAATCTGAGGTTCAGAAAGCTTGATCTCCTTGCCCAAGTTTGGCAGGTTAAAAATCAGATGCAAACCAAGACTCTGACCCTTAACCACCTCTTGATTCTGCCTCCCTGTCCTCTTCCCTTTCCCCTTCCCTCAACTCTAAGCTGAGCTGAGCCCAAAGCCTCTGTGACACTGAGAGTGTATAACCTAAGGCCCCTTGGCTTCCGTCCCACAGCAGAACCCTTGGACACTGTCAGGAACCCTAATGTAGGACATGTGGAACAGGCAGGTGGGGGGAAATGGTTTGGGAGACAGCGAGGGGCCAGAAATGCTGTTGCCAAGGATGAAGCTACCCATCTGCTGTGTATGCTGGGGCCAGCTCCTCTCCCATTGTTTCTGTTCATTTCTCTCCTCTGTTGTTAGCTTTAGAGAGGAGAATGGAATCCTAGAAGGGATGGAGCCACAGGGTTGGGAAGCCTGGATTCCACCTGGAGTTTAAGCCAAAGAGGCCAGGGAGGGGGGACACAGGAATGGTTTTCTGGAGATTCTGGTTGAACCGATGCCTAGGTCACCTCGCCCCCTCTCTCTCTTGCCCCACCCGACAGTATGTGGCCTTCGCCTCCCTCTTCTTCATCCTCATCTCCATCACCACCTTCTGCCTGGAGACCCACGAGGGCTTCATCCACATCAGCAACAAGACAGTGACGCAGGCCTCTCCAATCCCTGGGGCTCCGCCAGAGAATATCACCAATGTGGAGGTGGAGACAGAGCCTTTCCTGACCTACGTGGAGGGTGTGTGTGTGGTCTGGTTCACCTTCGAGTTCCTCATGCGCATCACCTTCTGCCCAGACAAGGTGGAGTTTCTCAAGAGCAGCCTCAACATCATTGACTGTGTTGCCATTCTGCCCTTTTATCTGGAGGTGGGCCTGTCGGGCCTCAGCTCCAAGGCCGCCAAAGATGTGCTAGGCTTCCTGCGTGTTGTGCGTTTTGTCCGCATCCTGCGCATCTTCAAGCTGACCCGCCACTTCGTGGGATTGCGTGTGCTGGGCCACACGCTCCGTGCCAGTACCAACGAGTTCCTGCTGCTCATCATCTTCCTGGCCCTGGGGGTGCTTATCTTTGCCACCATGATCTACTATGCTGAGCGCATTGGCGCTGACCCTGATGACATCCTGGGCTCCAACCACACCTACTTCAAGAACATCCCCATTGGCTTCTGGTGGGCCGTGGTCACCATGACGACCCTGGGCTATGGAGACATGTACCCCAAGACATGGTCAGGGATGCTGGTCGGGGCATTGTGTGCTCTGGCAGGGGTGCTCACCATCGCCATGCCTGTGCCTGTCATTGTCAACAACTTTGGCATGTACTATTCACTGGCCATGGCCAAGCAGAAGCTGCCCAAGAAGAAGAACAAACATATCCCCCGGCCCCCACAGCCTGGCTCACCCAACTACTGCAAGCCCGACCCACCCCCCCCACCGCCACCCCACCCTCACCATGGCAGTGGCGGCATCAGTCCACCACCGCCTATCACTCCACCCTCCATGGGGGTGACTGTGGCTGGGGCCTACCCCCCAGGGCCCCACACACACCCTGGGCTGCTCAGGGGGGGAGCAGGGGGGCTGGGAATCATGGGGCTGCCTCCCCTGCCAGCCCCTGGTGAGCCTTGCCCCTTGGCTCAGGAGGAGGTGATTGAGATCAACCGGGCAGGTGAGGCTGGGCGTGAGGGGTGGGGTGGGAGGTGCAGACCTACGTGGGAGGACAGGGAGGAAGCTCTGAGGTTCTGAGATTGGGTGGTCAGCAGCAGAGAATGGAGAGAGAGAATAGAAACAGCTTGAGCTCAGGCCAGGGAGGAAGCACAAATAGTCACAGTGAGATAGAGATTCTGTGTAAAAGACAGTTTCTAGGAGATGCTGCAATCTAGGTGTTCAGAGGGGCCAGAGAGGCAGAGAGCAGATGAGAGTTCATATTTTAATGACAGCAAGACCAAGAAGGGAAGATGGACTTCAAAACTAAGATTCAGAGGCTAAGATGACAGGGGGCAACTTGGAAATCAGAGCCTCATGGGCTTTGCTCAAGGCAGCCTGAGAGGGGCTGGGAGAGATGCATGGGAATGTTGCTAAGAGGAAGAGATGTGGGGAGAAGGAAGTTGATTGCCTCTGTGTGTGTGTGTGTCTGTGTCCCTCTCCCTTGGGAGTCTGCCTCAGAGGCAGAGATTTGGGTGTCCGGGAGGAGGGAGAGGCTGGTGGGCCCCACCTCCCTGCCTTAAGTAGGTCAAGAAAGGGAGCTGGGCCACCCGGCCCCCATCTTGCTCCCTCAGCTGCTGACCCAGTTTCACACCAATTAAAAATAGCTCGAGTCAGAGCCTAGGGGACCCCTACCTCCCCCCCAATCTATCACCTTCCCAGCCCTTCCCCACAGTGCCCTTCCTAGCACCCAGCACTTGTCCCTAAACAACCACTTCCTAGCTTTCCACATCCTCCCCAACCTGCCTCCTATTGGCCCCAACCAATCCACCACAGATCAGTTCGGCCACCTACCCGCACCCAGCTTCCAGCTCTCTGCCCCAGTCTTTCCTCTAGACCCCCAACACCCACCAGGCCCGGCCAGCCACTGCTTCCTAGCACTTCACACTGTCCCTCAACCAACCACTGCAGCACACCACCCCCCGCCCACCTTTCCCCACACAATACCCTCTCCCTATGATCACCCCTCTGCACACCCCAGCCATGCCCTGTCTATACCCCATTCTCAACTGTGCCCTTCCCAACACCTTGGGCTTGAATCTCCACTTTGGTGTCCAACATCTCTTCCATCACCCACTCAGACCTTCACAACCCACTACGAGTTCCCCATACCTCACTCTCTCCTTTGTGTCTGTCTTGACACCTTTGGGATGCAGATCCCCGCCCCAATGGAGATCCAGCAGCAGCTGCACTTGCCCACGAGGACTGCCCAGCCATTGACCAGCCCGCCATGTCTCCAGAGGACAAGAGCCCCATCACACCTGGAAGCAGGGGCCGCTACAGCCGGGACCGGGCCTGCTTCCTCCTCACTGACTATGCCCCTTCCCCTGATGGCTCCATCCGAAAAGGTGAGAGCCGTCCACTGGCCCCTGGGACTCTCCCTCTCTCCCCAGCCCAGGGGAGCGAGGAGAGGGTGATGGGGCGGAGGTGTTGGACTTCCCTTCTCTCCTCCCTTGCCCCAAATTGCCTTCCTCCCAAATATATCCCACCTTCCCCAGGTTTCCTTACCACTGACCCTTCACCTGTCTTTATTCCATCTCCATTTCCCCCTTCCCCCACCCTTTGGCCTCTTCCCCCACCCCCAGCCACTGGTGCTCCCCCACTGCCCCCCATAGACTGGCGTAAGCCAGGCCCCCCAAGCTTCTTGCCCGACCTCAACGCCAACGCTGCAGCCTGGATATCCCCCTAGTGGATGAACCCCCTCCCCCCAGGGTAAGTAGCTCCCAGCCTCTGATCCCCCCGTCCCCCCACCCCCCGCCTCCTGACTAACCCCTCTGAGAACATGCAGCCTCCACTGACCAAGACTCCTGCTCCCTCACTGAACAGTTCATCCACTTAACCCCAGCACCTGACACTGACACCCCCACCACCACCCCACCCAGGACATGCCCTGCCCCCACTAACCCCCAGCACTAATCCCAGCCCTGCCTCCCACACCTGGCCCTGACCTCCCACCCTGCTGTCACAACTGAGCCCCATTCTCTGCCATCAACATCTCCCTCTCTGCACCTGTCTTTGGATTTTTTTATTCAATCAGGGTCCACACCTGGGTGCAGGATGGGGTGAGAAAGGCTTATCTGCCTGTCCACTCTCCTGCACGCAGCCAGCACTCAGCACCCACATGTCCTGGTGCTGGGCATGGGGAGCTCAGCCATGAATAAAATCCAGGAGCTTCCAGTCTGGATGGGGAGGTAGACAGAGACCTAAAAAGTCACTGTGTGGGCTCGGCGCCTATAGCTCAACCGGCTAAGGCGCCAGCCACGTACACCTAAGGTGGCGGGTTCAAATCCCCAGCCCAGACCCGCCAAACAACAATGACGGCTGCAACCAAAAAATGGCCAGGCGTTGTGGCGGGTGCCTGTGGTCCCAGCTACTTGGGAGGCGGAGGCAGGAGACTCGCTTGAGCCCAGGAGTTGGAGGTTGCTGTGAGCTGTAATGCCATGGCACTCTACCCAGGGGGACAGCTTGAGGCTCCGTCTCAAAAAAAAAAAAAAAAAAGTCACTGTGTGAGATGATATATGCTAAAAAGCATAGTCAGAGGAACCACAAAACTCCTTGTGGTGGGAGAGGGGCCCTCTTGGAGAGAGCAGGAGGACATGTGATCCCGTTAGATAGTAACTAGAAGGAATCACACAGGAAATCCTTGGAACCCGTGTCCTAGAGAGAGAGGGATTAGGAGGTGGAGATGTAGCAGAGAAACAGGGGCCAGGCTGGGGGTGGGACCTTGTCCAGGGGCAGCTCTGGGGCTGCATTGGGATAGCACCGAAAGAGAAGCCAGGGCTACAGAGATGAAGAAAAAGGGATGGAGGAGGCCAGAGATTGGTGGGGACAGACTGGGGACTGATGACAGGAAGAACTGTTTAGTAGATGAATCCTCCAGCAAACATGTGAACCACTTACCACAGGCTAAGTATTTTATTTAGCACATGTTTTAGTCCTTTTAATAACCCTGGCCAGTCCCTAGCCCCTTTCATTCATGTCATTCAGCAACTAAGTTCTAGGCACTGGAGATTTGGGAGTGAACAAAGCAAGAATCTGCTGTCACTGTTTACAATCTCCCATCCAAGTACTAGCCAGGACCAACCTTGCATAGCATCTGAGATCGGCAGTTTAGGGCTGTGTGGCCACAGACAGCAGTGTATAGTCTAAAGTGGAAGTTGTCAAACTAACTATACAGAGCACCAGGCACAAATCTCGCTGCCATCTGCTTTGGCAAATAAAGCTTTATTTATTTATTTATTTAGAGACAGAGTCTCACTATGTTGCCCTTAGTAGACTGCTGTGGTATCATGGCTCACAGCAACTTTAAACTCTTGGGTTTAAGTGATTCTCTTGCCTCAGCCTCCTAAGTAGCTGGGACTACAGGTACCTGCCACAATGCCTGGCTATTTTTTGTTGCAGTTGTCATTGTTGTTTAGCTGGCCCTGGCCAGGTTCAAACCCACCAGCCTCAGTATATGTGCTGGCACCATAACCACTGTGCTACAGGCGATGAGCCTAAATAAATCTTTATTGAAACATAGCCAATGTTAGGCTACAACAGCAGAGTGAATGTATAACCTCCTTTGCCAAAAAGACTTACTAGCTGGCTCTTACAGGAAGTTTGCTAACCTTTGATTGGAGGGAACAGAAAATAAATGATTGAGAAAAAGAGGAAAGAACAAGATAATTACTCTAGTCATTTAAGTTAAGGTGGTCTGAAAGATTTCTTTGAGGAGGTAACATGAAATCTGAAGGATGAAAAAGGCCAGCCAGGCAGAAGGAACATTAAGTGCCATAGGCCCTGAGGTGTTGGAGTGGAATGAGTTTGGTTTGTTAAATGAACAGCAAGGAGGGCAGTGTGGCTGGAGTCAAGTGGCCAAGGGGAGAGGGGTGCAGGAGTCTGAGGAAAAAGACCATGATGGGTTTTTTTTGGCCATGATAAGGAGACTAGATTTTATTTATTTATTTTTAAGTTTTTGAGACACAGTCTGAGTCACTCTTGAGTAGTGTGGTGTGGTGTCACAGCTCACAGCAACCTCAAACCCCTGGGTTGAAGTGATCTCTTTCTTCAGTCTCCTGAGTAGCTGAGACTACAGGCACCTGCCACATGCCAAGCTAATTTTTCTATTTTTAGTGGGGTCTCACTCTTCCTCAGGCTGGTCTCAAGTGATCTTCCTGCCTTGGCCTCCCAGAGTGCTGGGATTACAGGAGCCACTGGCCCTCCCAGGCCTAGGGCCTAGATTTTATCTTTTTTTTTTTTTTTTTTTTGAGACAGAGTCTCACTATGTCGCCCTTGGTAGAGTGCTGTGGCATCACATTTAACAGCAACCTCAAACTCTTGGGTTTAAGCGATTCTCCGCCTCAGCTTCCTGAGTAGCTGGGGCTACAGGTGCCCACCACACCGCCCGGCTACTTTTTGGTTGCAGTTGTCATTGTTTAGCATGTCCGGGTTGGGCTTGAACCTGCCACTTTCGGTGTATGTGGCCAGTGCCCCACTCCCTGAACTCTGGGCACCTAGATTTTATTTTAGATGTGATGGGGGCCACTTGAAGGTATTTGATGCATCACTAATTCATTCAGCAAACCTGCTAACTCTTCCTTAGAAATAGACACATGCTAAAAAATCTCTGCCCACAGGCTAAGGAGATGTCATGGGAAACTTGGGGTGCTCCAGGATGATCTTGGCTAAACCCTCATATTTCACAAGTTCAGGGAGGGCCATGACTAATCACCCCAGGCCACAGAGCAGATGGGGCAAGAACCAGGCTTGGAGGCTCCTAGTCCAGAGGGGACCATTTGGCTCCTCTTGTTCAGTCCCTTCACTTCTCCTTTTTGCAGCCCCTCCTTTATCATCCATTTTCATCTCATACCCACCCCCTCCCTGCTCCCATCTAACCCGTCCTCTGGCTTGCACCCAGTTCTTCACCACCCTTTGTTCCTTATCCCCAGGTCTGGAGGGCCCCCATGGAATTATGGGGAGGGGGTGGGGGAAGATCTGGGAATTTGGGTGAGGGAAGATTGGGGATGGGGGTGGCAGGGTGGGAGAGGTCCCTGCTTCTCATGCCTAAGATGCCAAAATCCATTCATTGAACTCAAATCATGGCTGGAGCTGATGGGGCTGACAGAATCTGCCCTGGATGCCGGGTTTTTCCCCTCCCCCAAGACATTCTTCCTCGATATCCTTCTGCCCACACCACCAGGCTCTCCCTCCCCCAAGACCCTCTTTCCTTTATTGCCCCCCACTTCTCCCAAGACTTTCTTCTACCAAGACCTTTCCTCCCCAACTGTATCCCCAAGGTCCTCCTCCCAAGACCCTCCCTCTCCCAGCCTGCCTCCTACCCCTGCTCCTCTCTCCTACACCGTCCCTTTCCGGCCACTTAAACCTAACCTGTCTGTTACCATTTCCTCCCCAGCCTGTGCGCTCCTCCCATCCTTCGTTCTCTCTCCCCTTCCCCAGCCTCTCCCCTAGCCACCCCGGAAGCTCCTTCCATATTTGATGTTTCGGCTGCCCCATTTCACTGCTCCCCTCCCCCGGAAAACACCAAAGAGGAGGAAGAGATCCCGGCGTTTCTCCGTCCCCCCAACAGTGAGGCTGTGTTGGGGGGTTCCCCCCATCCGCCTCCCATGCGCCGTGACTCTGTGTATTTCTGTCTCCAGCTCTTGTCACCGCCTGAGACCTCGCGAGACCCTCGGTCCCCCCCTGCCCCTTCCCCCCAGGTTAGCAATTGGGAATGGGTGGGAGGGGGTGTCCCCAAGATACTGGAATTCAAACCCCCTCTCCCCGCCCCAGCCCTCACTCCTGCAGTCAAGACACCGGTGTCCAGACATCCCCCTTACCATTGCCTAAAAAAGCCCCAGAGCTCCCCCGAGAGGCTGGCACGCGCAGACAGCTCCCGGATCCCAGATCCCATCAGCTAGGGAGGCTCTGTTGGAAACTTCCCCTCAGGCATCAGAAACTCAGCGACTTCCCGGACCCTTTCAAGATCCCCCCTCCACCTCACTCAGAACCCTCTGGATGACCGCCCGTCTCCCCCGCTCTTGGAGTTCTCTGACTCCCCTAGAGCACTGCCTGCTTTTGCTCCATTCAGCTCCCTCACAGATGCTCCCCTGCCATCTCTCTTCCCCCTACAGCTAGGTTAGCACCCCAGACCTCCGGGCCCCACCCGGTTCCCTCTGAGCCTCCTCCAGCGGCTGCTCTCCTACATGCATTCCACCTAGCCCTCCCCTATGCCCTGCCGCCCACCATCCCGCCTTGCTGCCCCCACCTTTTCGCCTCAGATGAGGGGACCAACCGGGGAGGTGAAGGAACTGGGCGGGCCGCGGTGGGGGAGGGGCGGGGAGGCTCGGTGGGCGCCACCCCGCCTCCTAATCCTGAGTCTCTCCCCCCTCCCCAATGTTTCTACCTTTCTCGTTGATGCTGACTGACTCTCCGATTTGTTCGCTTTCTCTCTCCATCTCCTTGGTCCGCCTCTGTCCATCTCTGTCTCTTGCCATCCATCTTTTTGTGTCTCCGTGTCTGTCTCTTGTCTTTATCTCCCTGTCTCTTATCTTCTCTCTCTGGGTATCTCTTACCCTCTCCTTCCATCTCTTTCTCTCTGTCTTTTCTCCCTGTCTTGGGGGTGGGTCTCTGTCGACCCGTCCCCTATTTCCCGGTGTTTCTGCCTCATTCCCCCCCCCCCCAGGTTACGAGAAATCCCGCAGTCTGAGCAGCATCGCGGGCCTGAGCGGGGTGTCCCTGCGCCTCGCGCCCCTTGCTACCCCCCCTGGCTCTCCCCGGGCCGCCCGCCGCGCGCCTCCAACCCTGCCCTCCATCCTCTAGCGCTCCCTTCCCCCCTGTGGGGGGTCTCGGGGGTGACCGGGAAGAAGGTCAAAGGAGTTGGGGGTGGGAGGGTGGGGGAACGGGTTTTTAAAAAAAAAAAAATCAAAAAGTCATTAATATGCAACCGAGATGACGACGCCAGCAGACACCCCCGGGCCCCTAGACCCCCACTTGGGCCCCCAGGATGGAGGAGGAGGGGCCAAAGCCGTCCCCCCTAAATCTCCCCTCCTCCCCATAAAAAAAGCCTTCTCAGGTCTCCATGAGCCATAGGACACCCCCCTCCCATCAACTCGTGTAAATAAGTCCAAATTATGCCAATTACATCTTGGGAGCACCTTCCCCAACCTCTGCATGTCTCCTACCCTGGACTCCCTATTCCAACTCCACCTCAGCAATAAGCCGCCAGGGGCTGCATGCTCGAGTTTGAGGAAAGGGGCACTCTGGGAGGGGGATGGCCTTTAAGCCACTGGAGGGTCTTCTGGCCTCCTCTGCTTCGCCCCAAGAAGACAGCCAACCCACTGTGGGGAGGAAAAACAAAATACTTGAAATAATGTAGGGGAAGGAGGAACAGTTGTCCAAGCAGAGCTGAGATCAGAAGGTGGGATGAGGCGTCAGGGTGGGCTGCAGACCTGCTCCCTCAGCCTGTAGGGGGATCCCTCTGGTGAATTTCACCCCCTTATCCTCCCCCTCCCCCAGGGATCTGCTGCCTCTATTCTTGCTGCATGGACTCAGACCTTCCACCTCAGATTTCCTGGGATGATTTGGCCCTAGCACACAAAATCTGCCTACCCCCCTCCATTCCCAGGACATGAGACCTGCACCTGGAATTCCTGAGACTGACCCTGGCACCCCACACACCCCCAAATCCCCACACACTTCTGGGATTTAACTTCTGTTCACAGATGCTACCCGCCCCCTTCCAAATACCTCCACCAAATTCCCTGGACTGCATCCCAGCACTTCTCAGACCTCCAAGACCTCACCCAGCTTTTCAACTCAATTTCAGCCTTTGGGATGCTCCAAATCCTTCCCACAACTCTTGACATTTCCTGGACACCGCAAACCCTCAGGCCTGCTCCCCCAGGCGCCCCCAAATTTCTAATATCAGACTCACCTGCCTGAGGTTCCCCTGAAGCTAGAGCTTTCAGGATAGGTTCAACTTGACTGCAATTCCAGGGAACCAGGCACCCCCTTTCTCACGCCTAGCCCTTCCTCCCACAAAGCCCTCTCCTTAAGATGGTGCCCCAAAGGTACCCTCGTCACGACACCAGTTTCCCAGGGGGTCATACTCCCATACACCCCTGGTGGTGTGATTTTGGACAAACACTTGTTTTCAAAGTTTTGTCTTTAATGTGCAAATTTTGCACAATAAGCCTGTAAGTCCCGGTATTGCTGCTCGGCCAGGACACCGTTTATTTAGGTTAAGTGTTTCCATTTAAAGTAGTCCACAAATGTGCCCGTATGGAGAAACGCTGGAATTATCTGAAGCTTTGGAAACAGCGACACACACAACCCCGCTGTCATCCCAGCCTTCCCTTCCCTGGCATTCCTTGCCCCACCACGCTCGCGGGTGGAAAATCATTTCTCACATCCCATCCTGGCTCAAGGATGCGCTACCTCCCCCAAGCCCAGGGACCACACTGGTCCCAGAATCCTTAGTGGACCCCCCGTTTTGGAGCCGGGGGCCCACGGAATTAGCAACCTTCCTCCCTCTGCTCCTACGGCCTCAGGAATCCCCTACTCCACCCGAGGGTGGTCGGGGACGTCACTGAGCGCGATTCTTGATGCAATGATTCCTATGCAAGGGGCATTTTGAGTCCCCCCATCCTTCCCTCGGACCCTAAGCCCTGGTGAACCAGGGGCGAGGGGGTGGGGCAGGTTCTGGTGGGGGCGGGGCAAAGGGCTAGGGGCTCCTGACACCAGGGTATGGGGGTGGGGACTGATTATATTGCCAAAGGGTTCAACTTCTTAAAAAAGCCCCCAGTTTCCCCTGACCCTAGTGAAAGCCGAATGGGGCGGGGAAAGGGGGTGAGGGTCTTTTCCAAAGGGTACTGACCTCTTCCCAATGTCTCCCACCTGCTCGCCAATCCGCCACACGTACCCAGCTTTTTAGTTCAGCTTTTAAAAATAACCACAATCATCATAAACGTCTACAAACATAATTCTTGTCCCTTTCCCTCCTCCCCCAAGTCAACAGTGTGGGATTCGGGGAGGGAGAGAGAGCAAGCTAAAGGGACTATTTTCAAGTCCGGCTCTCCCTTTTCCCCCCGGCCGCCAGGGTGCCTGCACCTATACGCATGCGCTGCATGACGCGCCCCCCACACGCATGTCGCACCCCTCCTGCGCTCCGGGAACGCACGGACACCGGGCAGGGGTCGGGACGATTGGGGAGGAATGAATGGCAGGGGGTCTTCCTGAGCTCAGCGGCTCACCCTCCCCAACACACACACACAGCAATAAGTTTCTCTCACTCAAACGTGGGCGGGGCGGGCCAGGCCTGTCAGTGACGAGGGGGCGCTCTCAGGGATGGGGGCGGGGTCCGGAGTCAGTGTGGGGAGGGGAGGTCTGCAAATCGTCCAACTCTGGTGCTAAAGGCGGGTCTTCTCAGCCCACCCGCAGGGAAGGGAGGGAGGGGTCGGCAGGCCTCTCCCCCAAGCCTCCCCTATGCCCACCCTGGGTGCATGAACCGCCCAATGCAGAAGCTGCCGCATGTCACCCCCCCCAAAGAAAAAGTGTCATGCCCCCTTCCCACCCACCCTCTCACTCTACCAAAATAAAAGTTTCCTTTTCATTTAAAAGTTGCCTCCTGTTTGTTGGGAAGGTCTTTTGATTGGGTGGAGGTACAGAGGAACTGGGACTTCATGAATAGGGCTATAGAGAAGTAACAAGGGTGTGGACTTTGGTGGTCCAGAGTCCGGTCTCTTGATCACCAGCACACACTGTATTTGGAGAAAGTGTCTGCCTCAGTCTCCATGATAGGTAAAGCGGGGATCAACACCTCTAACTGAAAAGTCTGGGAGAATGAGTTTGAGAAGCGCAGAGGCCCTAGCTGGGAGTGGCTAGTTCCCAGAAGAGTGCTGGCCCCTGGTCCCACTGTGGGCTCAGGGGCTGAGGATCCTATGTTCCATATTGCTGACTGTGAAGCCTGACTCCTGGGTTCAAACAAACCCTGTGTCTTCTACTTGGTAGTTATATGTCTTGGAGAAGTTGATTAGCCTGTCTGGACCTGTTCCTACCATTTTAAAAGGGTTGGAGGGGTGTCATTTATTCATTCATCAAATATTTCCTGAGTGCTGGGCACTATTCTAGGTGCTGGAGAGCAGTGAAATCCCTACCTGTAAGATGGTGCCTAAGGATGAGACAAATGTGCTCAGCATAGCACCCAGCACATATGGTCACTGGTCACTGCTGTTTTTGCAAAGACTTGAGAATTGGCTGGAGTGCAGCACCCCTCTGGCACTGACTTATTGGGGGTCTTGGGAGTCAGGGACAACACTACTCTGAGACTCAATTTCCTCATTTGTATAATGGTGGGAATATCTCCATTATAGTATATTGGGGGTGAGGAGAAATGACTTATTTCCCCTTAAGTACCAGTTCCTAGGAGGTCCCCCATACGCTGGCACAGCTATGCTTAGAACCAGCAACTACCCACCTGCTACCCCAGCAAGCTGAAGAAGCCCATGGCCATCCCTCCTCAGTAGCCCTCCCCACCAGAGACCCCTTGCAGGAACACACACAGCCACTGTGAAAGGTCCAGTTGGGGGCTGGAGTTTATTTCTGCCAGAGCCTGATGGCTGGGAGGATAAGAGAGATTCCTCTAGTCCTCCAGTGAAACTCCAAACCATGATCACATGAGAGCAACCAGAAGGGAGGGGAGGGTCAAGCATGGGGCAGGAGGGAAGTGAGAGGGGTCCCCTCGTCCTGCCCCTTGCAAGGGTTCAAGACTGGTGGAGGCTTCACTCAGAGGTTCTAGGGGTAGGAGCAGAAATGGGGGAAGGAGTGTCTACATGGAGATGCAGGAGAGAGTAAGAGAATCCTAGAGAGAAAGATGCAGAAAAAGAGAGATCTAAGGAGAAAGACCAAGTGGTGGGGGTGGGAGGGAGAAGCAGAGAAAATGGGAGCTTGTTTT